TGACCCATGGAGGCAAGGTTGGTGAAACTCCATCTCACATTCCTTGGGCATGATGCTAGGAGGAGTTGTTTCTTAGAAAGGGCCATCATACTTGGAAAGGTCAGCAAAAGAGGAAGACCCTCAACCAAGTGGATTGACACAGTTACTGCAGCAATGTCATAGATTGTGAGGATGGCACAAGACAGGACAGGGTTCAGATCTGTTGTTCATAGGGTCACTATCAGTCAAACTCAACTTGATGGCACCTAACAACAATGAATACATTATGTCTGTGAACTCTTCTGTTATAAATTTCTGCAGTTTCCTCCTTCTGTGAGAAGTGCTGTGTGAACATTAGGTGTATGTATACTGCTGTTTTATTTCCTGCCTTCATTTCTTCTGGGTCTACACATACGGGTCAGTTTTGACTTGACAGTACACACAACCTTAACAGTACACACCAGTTACTCTGCCAATAAGCCTATGTTCAAAGAGGGAGCCCACAGCTGTCTCAGTACTCTGCCACCTCTTCCAGCATCTCTGCTGCAGCTCATCTTGTGTCATGCTGTCTCACCCAAAATGTCTGCCATCATGCAATTTATCTATTTCTGGTTTGAGTAGAGACCTTAGGCCCGAAGGACACACTGCATTCTCTGGTTCTTTCTTCTTTTCTGTAAACTTTCACAAAATCACAACAGCAAAAATAGTGTTCTTGTGCCTTAATTTCTGGGGAATTCCACTTCCTTCCCCTCCCACCAGCATATGCATTCACAGGCAGGGTTCATTCTTCTTGACAATAGTGAGGTTCTTGTTTTTCATCTTTGGCTCTCCTCAATTTAAGCCTGTTGGATGACCTGGCAGATTCTTATGTTGACCTTTTTAATTTATACAATGCTGCATCATCACAGACAATGAGGACGGCACAGAATAAGGTAGTGTTCAGATCTATCTGTTCACAGCGTCATTTGACTCGACAGCGTATAAACTCCCCCTCCCCGAGCTGTGTTCTATAGGGTTTTCAAAGGCCAGTTATTTTAGTAGTGGATAACCAGTCTCATTTTTAATCTGTCTTAATCTGAAAGCTCTGCTGAAACCTAACCACTATTGGTGACCCTGCTGGTATTGAAAATACCAGTGGTGGGAGCTCTGGTGGCCTAGTGGCAAGAAGCTGTACTGCAATTATCCCAGAGTTGCTTGGTTTAAATCCACCAGATGGTTTGCTGGAGAAGGAGACAATCTCCTCCTGTACCAGTCACATCTGATTTGACAGTACACACACACAAAATAATAATTAAAAAAAGAAAGCTGGAGAGTCAGTGAAAGAGAGGAAGATCCTCAATGAGATGGATTGAGGCAGTAACTGCATCTATGGGCTCAAATGTTTTAAAGATGATGAGGATGGTGCAAGATAGGAAACTGTTGTTGGCAGTGGATAAAGGATAAAGAACAAGACAGGACACCAAGAGTGGAGGAGAAAACAGAGCACATAAAGCAGGGAGTGAACAGCTGGAGGAACTGAAGCACAGAATCCAGCTTCCCTGTGTCTTTATTGAAAATTGCCAGGAAGCAAATCACAAAGAGAATTCTATTCAAATGAAGCTAAGCTCTTTCTATTGAAAACTTTATGCTTGACTCAGGAGGGTTAGCAAATACAATCCAAGAATTGTGTAAAAGTCTAAGGTCTGCATGGTGCTTAACCCCTGTGAATGCCTAAATTCTGCCTTGGTGCTTCAGGGGGAATTTTAGCTTGAATCTGTACCTCCCTCATATCCTGATATAGCATTTGGTTTATCATTAATATAGTTTGATATTTGGCTTCCCACAGGAAACGGCTCAGATCTGTGGTTCTTAGAGTTGCTATGAGTTGTAGTAACCACTCAGCTGTGTAAGAGAGCTCTGGTGGCCAAGTTGATAGGGAGCTGCAGTATTAACCCAAAGATAGTGCTTCTCTGGCTGTTCAAATCCATCAGCAGCACTACTGGGGTTGGGGAGGGGACACAGGAAATCTCCTGTGCAATTTACAGCTTTAGAAAGCCACTATGAGCTATGAGTCAAAACTGACTCAACATCAGTGAGTTGAGTTGGCCCAGCTATGTAAAGAAGTCTGGTGGTGTAGCATATACTGTACCGCTAACCAAAAGGCTGGTAGTTTTGAATCCACCAGCCTCCCTCTGGGGTTAAGCTGTTTCTTCCTGTTAAGATTTACAGCCCCAGAAACCAAATGGAGGATAACTATGTGTTAGAATCAAGCGAAAGGCAGTGAGTTTGGGCTTTGGTTTACTCAGATGAGCGGAGACACTTAACAAAACCAATGGCTTAGAAGAGTCACATCAAATAAGTTACTGCAGTTGGACAATGAACAAGGATGACAAAAGAGAGCTGATGCTTCTGAGCTGTGGTGTTGAAGAAGAGCACTGAATATTCCATTGACTGTCAAAAGAACAAAGTGATATGTCTTATAAAAATGGCAGTCAGAATGCTTTGGAGGCAAGGATGGTGAAGCTTCATTTTACATTCTTTGGGCATGATGCTAGAAAAGGATATTCCTTCGAGAGGCACATCTTGCTTGGAGAGGTGTAGGGTCAGCGAGAGAGGAAGACCTTCAAGTAGGTGGATTGACATAGTGATTGCAACAGTGAACTCAAGTGTATCAGATATGAGGATGGCACAGTAGTGGTAATGGTGCAGGACTGCAGTTCTGGGACAGAGGGCAGTGGTGGTAACCTTTGCACATCTCAATGTGCTTGCTCATTGGATGTTTGAATAATACTTCCTGGTGAAATATCTTTGCCAGGTCCTTTGCCCAATTTCTTTTTTCAATTTGTGATTTGAGTGAAAGTTAACAGAGAATATTCATTTTCCATTCAATCACCCATATATGTTTTAAGACATGACAGTACCCACAAAAAATGGCACTCTTCCTGTTTCCTCCTGGTGGTTCTCCTTCCCATCACTCCTCCTATGGTCCCCTTTCTGCCTTCTGAGCTTTATCACTTAGTCCTTTTGGGCTTGTAAATTGTCTCATGAGTATCTTTGTTCACCTGATGTTGTGTCAAGTCGGAACCGACCCATAGCTGACCCTCCAGCAGGTTTTCAGAGGTGGGAGAAGGCTGGGCAATCTCCTTCTGGGTGATCAACTGCCTCTGAAAACCCGCTGGAGTGTCAGCTATGTGTCAGTTCCAATTCTGGTACAACAAGAACAACAACCACACTGGAGGAGAATGCACATCTTTCTCCCACAGAGCAGATGGCAGATTTGAACCTATTTGTGTGTGCCTTTGGGTTGGCCACACAACTCCATAGCATCAGGCCACCAGAGCTCCCTGGTGGTGAGTCCCTTGTCATCCTATAGCTTGTCTATTCTTTGGAAAGACACAAGGGTGAGTTTAGTTCCAGGTTCAAAGGGTGACAAAAGGCTGAAGTCTGGGGAATGTCTCCCATCTGTACATGGATTCTGTGTCCCTTTTGTGTTCGCAGTACAATTCCTTACAACTAATGGTCAGTGCGGGAAAAGAAGACCCTGGATGAGATGGACACAAGTGACTGTGGCAATGGGGTTAGGTGTGTCAGAGGAGGTGAGGTTGGCTCAGATAAGGCAGGGTTCAGAGCCACTGTTCATAGGGTCACTATGAGTCACAGTCGATATGATGGCACATAACAACAACCACTAAAGCTCCCTTGAATGGAAAGTAGGTCCTCACAATCTCTTTCACATCACCTAGTTTTGTTTTCCGCATGATGCCTGAAATAACTTTGGCCATTATTTTATGCCACAAATACGTACAATATACCTGCTATGTGCCAGCACATAGCACATAGCTATATATGTGCTATCAGTTCGGGCGCCCCATGAAGGCACTCTATCCATCTTGCTCACCCTGGTTTCAGGCTCTTTAAGCGCCCAGCTCTGATGCTTGGGCATCAGGAGCGAAGGAATCACCAAGCCTCGCTCTGCTCAGCTCGGTTGGATGTCTGGCGTGCAGTAGGCATCTGGCCTACCTCTCCAGAGCATCAGGTATGTAGTAATTGCTGGGCTTCGCTCGCTCACCCCAGCTCTCCTTGGTGACAGACGCAGAGGTCTTCCAGCTCAGCTCTCCTCTGTCTCAGGGGCGAAGGAATTTGGTACCAGTGGTGGTCAGGGGCGCAGGGGTGCAAGAATCTCTCGGCGTTGGGGGTTGAGGGCGCAAGAATTGTCCGGCCCGACATTCTGGGCGGGGCGTGGAAGGTCGGGGGCACTGGAATCCCCTGACTCGGCTCTCCTGGGGTGGGGGGGCAAGGTCTCAGGAATCACTCGGCTCGGCACGCCCTGGGGTCGACAAGAGAGCTGTCAACACCCAGCTCGGCTCTCCTCGGCGTCAGGTGCGCAGGTATCTCCTAGCTCAGCTCTCCCGGGGCGGGGGTGGGTGGGTCAGGGGCGCAGGGCTCGCCCGGTTCTGCTTGCCCAGGGGGCCAGGGCTTCAGGAATCGTCCGGTCGGGGTCGACATGAGAGCTGTCAGAGCGTAGCTCGGTTCTCGGCGATGGGCGCGCAGAAATCGCCCTGCTCGGCTCGCCCAGAGTGGCGGGGCCCAGGGTAGCAGGAATCGTCCGCGAGGGTCGACGGGAGAGCTGTGAGCTGTTAGCTCCCAGCCCGGCTCTACCTGGCGTCGGGCGCACAGGAATCGCTCGGCTCGGCAAGGATCGCCCTGGGTAGGGGGACAAAGCTTCAGGAATCGCTCGCCTCGGCTCAGCTCGCTCGGGGTAGGGGGACAAGGCTTCAGCAATCGCTCGGCTCGGCTCGCCGGGAGGGCCCAGGGCACCAGGAATCGTCTCGCGGGGGTCGATGGGAGAGCTGTCATCACCCAGCTCAGTTCTCCCTGCCGTCAGTCGCGCAGGAATCGCCCGGCGCCAGTCGCCAGACGTCACGCAGGGAGCGCCGCGCCCCGCTTTGAGCCCCGCATCGCGTCCGGCGTCCTCCCCTCCCCCGCTCCAGGAAGTGTGGGGGTTTCAGCCGGCCGGCCGCCGCGATGCATTCTGGGACAGCGGCAGCACCAGATCCAAGATGGCGGCCAGCAGGAGGCTGATGAAGGTAAAGGCCATTCTCAGTCGTCGGGCGGGCGGGCGTCGTCGTCCAGGGCCCCGGGCCCCCGCGGCCAGCTAGATAGAGCTCTTCAGGTCGCTTCCAGCTGGTCTCTCACTGAGCGTGGGCGCGCCGTCCCTGGGGGATCCCCGCGCGCGGTGAGGGAGTTAACGGGGCCGCCTAGGCCGCGGCCTGGGCGGGAGCGCCAGGCCGCACCGGGAGCCTGGCTGGTCGCTCCGTCCGGCCTGTGCGTCCGCCAGGACCCGAGTCCTCCAGCCCATCCTCGCGGCCGCCGCCACCTGAGCCGGCCGTGGTTTAGGGGCCCATCTGGGGCGCCCGGGAAAGGCCCGAGCCCCGGAGCCCGCGCATGGGCCACCCGTGCTGGGCCCTGGGCGCCGCGGGGCAGCGGTAACTGGGCGGCTAGGGTTAGGAGAGTTTTCTTCTGAGTGGATGCTAGAAACTGTCCCTTGGCTCCAGAGTCCCACACCCGTCGAGCCCCTGGTCTAGGAAGACGGGGCTGGCCCCGATTGCGACAGGGTCCGTCCCCGGCTGTGCGGTCTCCACTAGTGAGTCATCACAAGCCGATCAGCTTTGCTTGATGAAGGGGGACAGCTTCGGCCACTCGTACCAGACAGTGTATTGAAAAGAACTCATACTTTAGATTCCACATGCAGTGGCTCGGTGATGATTAGTTCCCTGGTGAGGACCTGGGTCACCTGGAGCCCCCTCAGCGGGATCCTCTGCCTCCTTACCCAGCCGGGTTTAAGTAAGCCCAGGGCAGGAAGTACAGAGGGACCTAGGGCTTTTTTCTTGAGGAACGATTAAGAGTTAGAGTTCCTGCTGGGCGGAGAGCACTCGAGCACTCTTGAGTGAGTAGACCTTGAACTTGGGAGTCACAGCTCTGAGGCCCTCCCTCCCTGGGGCTGCTTCCTTTCTGTTTTTCAGTGAAGGCTAATGAGAACTTTTGGCTTCATTAAACTAGAGAGGAAGTGGGCACAGAAGGACAATGAGCACACCCCAGATCTCTCCTGTCTTTCCTCTGCCCTTGGCATAACTAGTCCACCTACAAGAGAAGACTATTCTCACGCATTTGTTCTCCTGTTTTGTTCGCCAATAGTCCAAACTATGGGTTTTACTTTGGGAGGATGTCTTGGATGCATGCATCCTTTCCTACTTTACTGAAATTACTTGACTCTTTTACTGTCACCTTCTGACTCCCCTTTAGAGATTAAAAAAATCCCAAACTTTGTAGTGAAGTTGATTTGGACTCTGTATCACAGAGTAGAGCTGCTGCAGTGGGTTTCTTGACAGTGACAGGTGGGCTGGCCTCTCTTCCCTGGTGCTGTTGGGTGGCTTTTAACTGCAGGTAGTAAAGACCAGTTTTGTCACTGCGGAATCCTTCCTATGTGAATCCCAGCATTCTTTTTCTACAACAGATACTTAATTCTTTACCTATCGAAAAGCCTCTCTGATTTAATTGTCCCAGGATCTAATTCCATCTTCCTAATTTGCATGCAAGATAGCTGTCTGTTTAAGCCTCAGGTCCTTCCTCTTTGTTTTCTGCTGACCTTTCTCCTAATTACAGCACATTTTACTTTTGGAAGTTCTGCCTATCAGCATATGGAAAAATGGAACATCAGGGGGATTTGATGGTTTACATCAGGTTACCTAACTAGAGGGAGAAAGAGCACCTAACTTGGTTCCATTTGACCCAAAAGCCTCAGGCTCTTAATCGTCTGCTTTGTGATATATGGTCTCCCTTTGTACATACTGCATGCTTTATCTGAGATTGGTTCATCTTCCCTCTCTAAGGAAGTCCTAGGTGTCATTCCAACACCTGCTCCTGACTCCAGTTCCCCTTCAGAATGCATCTCCTCCTTTGTGTGACCACAGCATTCTCTTTGTTTTCATCTGAGCATTGTCACATCCTGGCAAGAAGCTGTGCTGCAATCCTGAAGGCTCTCGGCGGTTTGAGGCTACCAGCTGCTCTGCGGGAGAAGAATGGGCAATCTCCCCCTGTTCGATTAACTGCCTCTGAAAACCCACCTGAGGCTCAGCTATGGGTTGGTTCCGACTCTACGGTACACAACACACTCTTGTGTGAAGACTTTCTTACTGGGGTTCTGATTCTCTCCTAGGGCAAGATCTAGGGGTTTGAGAAGGAGGTTAATGCAATTTAAAAAAATTTTTTAATGTTTCTGAGAAGTTTGAGCTCAGAAATTAACATCACTTGAGTACTTAAGTGCTAAATAATTTATGCAAATTCTTATCTCTTCAACAGCCCTGCAAGTTTGTTTATGTTGTCACCTTCATTTTGTAAATGAGAAAATTGTGGGTCTTAGATAAATTGAGAGTTTTACTAAAAGTGGATTAGAAGAATATAGTGATGAGAAGAGATGAGTTTCTAGTTCACCTTGTCTCCTAATCCGCATTTTGGTACTCCTTGTCAAACAGCTGCTTCTGTTGCTTATTCCAGGGTTCCTTGGATGAGTTTGTCTTATATCATGGGTTGTGGTTGGCATCTAAAATCTGTAAGGCAACGCTAGTTATGTGATACTGATTGTTGGAGCTGAGGTCACTGTTTAAACCTGGTGGTTTAAAATAAAACCATCTGGAAATGTTATTAATGTAGGTCCATTAAAAGTACACCAGATAGAAATGATAAGGGACCAAGTTGAAACTAAATGTCTAGAAGATTGCCAAAGACAGAATAGAGCAAGGAGACTAGTGGACAGATGCATTACTTCTTAAAAAGCATTCTTGTTTCCTGAGAAACCTTTTTGAGGATACTTTGTATCGAAGATTTCTTTGTCTCAATGGGCTGTTTCAGACATTGTGAAATACACTTTTTTTTTACATGAAATACAGAGTGATTTGTATATTTTAGGCCAGAGAAGTTATTTTAGGCAAATGAGTATACTAAAGTTTTTAAAAGGTGTTTGCCACAGGGATTAAGTATTTTTCAGAACCTTTCATTGGGATTACAATGTTAATAGTCAATGAAATACCTTTTATTTCTCCTGCAAATTAAGCATTCCTTGAAGGCAATAACCAGATTGTAACCTTTGCATCAGTGAGCAGGAAGTAGGAATATAATAACAAAGTGAAACCTGTAGGTGTTGCTAAGGAAAACTGGTTCCTCTGATACTTTTCTTTCTGCAAATACATTTCTCTTCAGGGCTTTTCCTTTATTTTTTTCCCAGAGGGCTTTTCTCTTGGGGGAAATTTGTAGCCTTCAGAGGAGTGACCTTTTATCAGTTATTATTGTAGATAAGGACTTGAAAATTGTGGAAACCTTTGAAGCTGCTTAGAACTTCCTATTTATGAACTTTCTATTCCTAATCACATGTGGGTGACCAGAAGCTGATAAATAACAGTTCATTATTTATCTTTTATCAAACTGAGTAATAAATTACAGAACACTTAGGCTCTTGCTTATTGGGTGATGAACACAATATAGCTGTAAACATGTTTACAGGTTGAGCAGTAGGTATGTTAGCTGTGTTGTGTGAGGAGTTCAGAATTGGTACATAGATTCATTCATAAAGGAAGCAAAACTGGAAGAGACTTGAATTTTTAAAATTTGAGTTTACTGTTGTAACAGGGAGCTCTGGAGGGCTAGTGAATAAGATGTAGCACTGCTAAACCCAAGGCAAGAAGTTTGAATCCCCTAACTGCTCTGAGGGAGAAAGATGAACATTTCTCTCCCTGGCATTTACACCTTCTGAAAAATGACTGGAGGGTCAGTTGTGAGTTGATTCTGACTTGACGACCATGAGTGTTTTTGAGAGGAACGCGAAAAAATTATAGGTTGAAATCTGAGAATGGGAGACTTGTAAGTGGTGCTTTTTCAGGAGCCTGATGTGTGAGATTGGTTCACTGGCACATGTCAACACACACACCACACCCCATAGTTGTCTACCATCCTTGAGCTGGCATCACTGTTTGAGACTGCAGTACGACAGGTGAGAGAGTTGGTTGCTGTGCAGTTGATATGTTCCTCATGTTTTCTAAGAAGATTAAGTTGCTTGAAATGGGCTTTGACCGTATTCCATATGTTTGAAAACTTGCATCTGTTCTGGTGTAACCTTCAGCTGTGACTATACCAGGAAGAACCAATTCAGTCTTGTCACAAATGTTAATACCAACTCTGTGTTAAGAATAGGACTGCTATTTTCCAGTCTTTTTGTTTTTACGAAACAAAAAACAAATTGCCACATCTTTTTTCTGTGCAAATAATGTTAGGCTGGAGTCAGTGTCTGTGGTCTACTGGCTTTTTGGGAGTTGAGAACGTTATCTTTCTTATCCTAAGGACAAAAGCTAGGGACTGTTCTAACTCCTCTTATAGATGTTCTCTGTAAACGATTCTCTAGTAAAAGAACTTTGTTAACAGGTGCAGGGAAAAAGTATACTCAACTACTGAAATAATCATAAGATAAGAATAATCAATTCTATAAGGCATATTGTTGTGTGCCGGTCAGAACCAACTCATAACTGACCCTCCAGAAATTTTCAGAGACAATTATTTCACGAGAGGACTTTACTCATTTCCCACGGAGCAGCTGGTGGATTTGAACCTCTTGCCTTAGTATAAGGTAAAGGTTATACATTATACTAAGCTGTATCTTATGCTAAGTTAGTTGCTACCTTGAAAATACTTGTCTCTGATTTCTTTTCTTTTAGTCTTTGATTTCTCGGATCTTCTCTAAATTAAGACGGTGGTGTTTTAGGCCAGTCCATTGAACATATTTTCATTCTATTGGGAAGTATTAACTTCCTAACGATGAAATTCAAGAAATACTTGTATTTTCTTTGCTGCGGTGGAAATTTAGGAATTATAACTCAGAGAAGCTGGAGCCATTCTTCGTAAGGCCAAGTTCTTGTATTTTAACTGCCAGTCGCTATTTTGATATTTCTCATTTTGAATGGCTGGGTGGTAAACCTATGAGCATCTCATCCTGTGCCCAATCCTTCATCGCAACCTACTCCTTCTCTCTCCATGTGGCCTT